ACAAATATACTATTAGTTCATTATTGTGGAGGGTCAAGGAAAGGTTTATATATGGAAGGAAACTTTCTTTGTTGGTTAGGAAGGGTGGGAGGGGAGGGAAGGGAACACTGCCAAAAAAAAAATATATATATATTGACCTATGTCACTTTAGTTTTGTCTGTTTCACTGTATATAAATTATATTTCAATAAAATGCATTTAAAAAAAAGGGAAAAAAAGAATAAACATCGTCTAGAGGGAAAAGCAAAATAAATAAATAAGGTTAATTTAACATGGAGAACAGATACACAAGTGTTGACATCCAAAAGGATTTTCATGCTAGTGATATGAGCCATAACAGCCTGTAACACAAAATCCACTTGAAGGCTACTGAAATAGCCCAAATTATACAGAGGGGTGTACCCCAGAAAGCATCTCTAGGATTCTCTTTGCCTTTATCCCATGAGTAGAGCCCTCATATGTAACTACCCACGCTCCAGGTGCCTAGATATATCACCTACTCATCTGTCCATGATGTGAGCACATCTTCCCCTTGCATCTGCCCACCAGCCTATTCAGTGTCTGAGCACATCCCACAGGTCCACTCAGCACGCACTGAGCACATCTTACAGGTCCATCTACCCAGCCAGCATCTAAACACGTCCCAACGGTCTACCCACTAGCCACTCAATCCAAGCACAACCCAGAGTTCCATCCACCTACCCAATATCTGAACACATCCCATGGGTCCACCTACCCACCCACCCAATGTTTTGAGCATACTTCCACCCACCATGCACCTAAACTGAGCATACATATCTCACAGTTTCATCCACCCACCCAACATCTGAACATATCCCACAAGTCCACACATACACCCAAGTATCTGAACAAATCCCACATGTTCAACTACCACCCACCCAGAGTCTGAACACATCCCATAGGTCCACCCATTACCCATCCAATCTGAGTACATCCCACAATTCCATCAAACCACTCAGCATCTGAACACGTTCGATGTCCACTCACCCATTATCTGAGGCACATCCCATAAGTCACCCAGCACACACCCAATCTGACCACTTCCCACAGTTCCTTCCACCCACCCAACATCTGACCACATCCCACACGTCCACCTATCTACCCACCCAATGTCTCAGCACATTTCCACCCACCATGCACCCCAGCTGAGCACATTCCACAGTTCCATCCACCTACCCAATGTCTGAACACAAGAGACAGGTCCACCTGCCACTCACCCAATGTCTGAGCATATTAACATGTTCTTTCATCTACCTACCCAGCATTTACCACCCAGTGTTTGGACCTTGAATTCTGAGGTAAAGATGGAAGGAAGCTCAAGAACTGCTACCTCTTCCCACCTGTAACAGGGGACAGAGGCAACAACCAGGAAAAAATAAAAAAGTGGCTTTTATTTTCAGATGACATTACTGGGTATTCTGTAATACAATAGGCTTTCCAGTCATAAAAAAAAATTCAAAAGACAACTACCTGGAGATGGTGGAGGCTTTTCATATAACGGTGGTTTTTCATCCTAGGGAATAAAAAACATGAGAGTAACAAATCAAGGAGCCTCAGCGTCTTCTTAGAGCAGGCTGGCACAATCAGCGAGGTTGTTATATATCAAGTATTTCAGCACCAAGTTTTTTTTTTTTCTTCACTTTGGCTCCTGTAATTTGCAGTTTGCTCTGTGTTTTTTACAAATAGATCTTAAACTTTAAGATTTTCCTTCCCTAATGGGTTCTCTAAGGAGCTCTGGTGGTGTAGTACCTAAGGCATTTGACTGCACCAGAAGGCTGGCAGTTCAAACCCATCAGCCACTCCTCGGAAGGAAGACTTGGAAATCTACTTCCGTAAAGGTTTACCACCTCAGAAACCCAAAGGGGCTCACTATAGTCAGAATCAACTCGATGGCAGTGAGTTTGATTTCTGGTAATCAGTTTCTGAAGCAGTAAGAGAATTCCTACATACAGCTTTCTTCCTGCCTTTTGTCTTTGAGTCCAGCCACTGTCTTAACATGCAGGTGCTGTGAGTGGCAGGCCAATGGATCATATCCTAAAGCATGTAAATGGCTTTCAGTGCCAAGCAAAGATATACAAA